CAGAAAGCATATACCTCTATATCCGTTTTCTTTCTCATTCACCCTAAAAGCTAACAACACAATCTTGAGATCATTTTTGATGTTTGACTTCTGATATTCACATCAAGGCTCTTGCTTGTTCACTGTAAGAAAAATTGCTCAAAAAGTGAACAAGAGATGCTCGTTCAGGTCTTCATCACCTCCTGCTTGGATTATTGTACTGCTCTATTTTCTTGTCCGCCAAAGCTTTTATTAATCGCCTCCAATCTGTCCAAAATGCTGCTTCAAGGATTGTAACTCGCTCTCAAATTCTCTCATATCACCCCATCATTACAGCATCTGCACTGGCATCCAGTCACGTTTAGGTATCATCTTGAAATCTTGGTTCTTACTTTCATGGCTTTATGAGGTGAGGCCCTCGCTTACATCGCCTGTCTACTCAAATCCTTAGGCTGGCTGATAGAGGTCTTCTTGTGGTTCTCTGTACCCGTGTAAAATCTAAGTGGGTACTGTCTCTTAAAACCAAAACTGTGGAACAGTTTACCACTCTTTCTTCACACGCTTGAATCTGTGGCATTCTTTAGAAAGCTTTAAACTTCTCAGACAGAGATTTGGTTGTTTTTCTGTTGTGTGCATTTTGCTCTTCTTTTTGTTTGTTTTTCTCCTGATATCTCTGTAAGCACTTTGTGACTCCTTTTCTTAGAAAGCGCTATATAAATCAATTTTACTTACTAATCTGCATCTGGATTAGTTTGTCTTGTAAACATCAAGGTGATGTCTGATTTCACTTCGATGGGTATTTCTGATGACACAAGATGTCTCACAGCGCTGAAATATCGTTCCAAAAATTCCTTGATCTATTGTGACTAACTGTTAGTTCCACTTCAAGCAGGTAGTCACTTCTAAGTGTGGGCCAAGACTCACCTCTGATAAAGATTTTAATGCATATTTATATATATATCCATGTAAACAAACCAAAATAATCACAGAAAACAGTTTCAAGTACAAGCACCTCAAAATGCTCATTTCCACTGCTGCTTTTTTAAATATGCATGTATTTTTTATATTTACATTCACATTAAATTTGACTCACGGTGACATTTTCTTGTATTGCGGCTTTTATTGCAATAGAGAACATTTAAAAAGGCAGACTTTCAAAAAATGAAACATTAACCTCCTCTACCCTCCTCTTTACGCTGTCATTAATATGTAGTTTAATACTATAAACACACCGAGTTATTTTTAATCAGTGGGTATTATTCCAGACTTCTTCACCTTTTCTGGGGACATGGCTCAGCTGCCTTTGTTGTCCTGTGTGATGATGTAATGGTGATGTAATCCAGTGGCAATACAGCAGGTGAAAACCGATCCAGATGTGAAGCTGTGCGTTTTATTGACCCCGTGAACGAAATGACATCCGGATGTTTATTTCTTTTAATGAGTATAACAGCAGACGTCAGGGGTTATTTTTAACATTTATATGAAACATTTAAGCTTGAAACGAAATAATACCAGGCTGGTGTGCTGCTCCATCGCCAGGGGGCGCCTCTCCCCTCTGACTGTGCTGTAGGTGTCTGAGTTGGATTCAGTTTTTCTTTATTTAATTTACATCTTTTCTGCGAAACCTCTCTCACGTGTGACTTCACCAGCTGGCACTATGTATGTTTAGTATTTTTTTATTTATTTAATTATTTATTTATTATCACTCTCCGACACTTTATGTGGACCCCTGATGGCGTCTAAGCTGATAAATAAACATTGATAATTATCAAATGTGAAATGAAAGAACGATGAGAGCCCACTGTAGCCGGACAAAGGCTCGATTAAAGCCTCATAAAGAGGGGATCACAGAGATAAAATGGTGTGAACAGAGCGTTTCAGCTCCTTGACTCCTCCTGCCTGGAGGAGGAGGAGGAGGAGGCGGGACTCGGTGCACCTAAACAGACGGAGGGCTCTTGCTTTGCTCTCAGTGTGTCAGTTCTGCATCACCAGAGGAGTCATCCGCACAGCTGTAGCAGCTCTGCCGGCCAACATAAACACTGCGGAGGGAGAACCGTTTCTCCAGCCTGTCTCGGACCGTCCAGCCTTTGTTGCCGTCAGACAGCTGAGCACTGCGGGAGGACGAATCTGCAGAGCCCGATCCGTCGGCGGCGGAAGGGACGTGATATGAACCCCTCATCGGCTTCACGGCAGCGCAGCTAGACAGCCCCGTTTGCGGGGGGATCGAGAGGACATTTGTACCTTTAACCTGCAGCCGAAGGCCCGACAAAAGCGACAGAACCTGCAGCCATGCCCGGGTTTGATTACAAGTTCCTGGAGAAGCCAAAGAGACGCTTCCAGTGTCCGCTCTGCAGCAAAGCGATGCGGGAGCCCGTCCAAGTGTCCACCTGTGGACACCGCTTCTGTGACACCTGCCTGCAAGAATTTCTGAGGTATGCTGTGTGTTTGTGTGCACAGGGATCCACCTCTTTGCAGGCGACACCGGAAATTACTGGCGTAGTTTCGGTCGAGCAGCAGTAAATAAAAGCATAGGTGTGCCCTGCTCACCTTTCTTCCGTCTTGCCTGGGTCTGCATTAATGTTGGTCTATTGTGTAGCTGCTGCCCAGAGCAATAACACAATATGAGGCCTGGTAAACAATGCCTGGCTTTAACCCTCCTTCTCTTGATGTCAGGTGTGTTTTTTTCTCTCTCTCTCTGCATGTGCAGCTTTAGCCTGGAATAATATTTCATCATTGGTAATTATCGCTTAGACTCATTAATGTGCAGATTTTTTTTCTCCGAGTGTAATCTTTATGTTAAAGTTTGGGGGTTTCCCCCCCTTTTTACATTAATGTTTCATGCTGTGGTGATTGTGGCCTGCAGAGGGCCCCTGCCTCCCCATCCTGTCTGTGTTTCTGGGCTGGGGTGGATGAGTCTGCGTGGGTTGTGTATGTGTGTGTTTGAGTATGTTCTGGAGTTCAGGATTAGACAGTGGTTCATTGGTCGGGGGCATCTGGGGGCCGCTGAGGGACCTTTCGCTCAGAGGTCAGCAGGATGGCAGACCTCCTCACCTTTTAATCTGTTCAACACTGGACTCAGTGTTGGATCCCTACAAACAGAGTCTTTGTTTTGTTCCTTTCAAAGATGGCCCTGTTGCTAATTATCCCACGACACCTACAGGACTCTCAAGCAATACACAGAATCCCCCAACAGCTTACCTGCAGATCACACACACCTGCATCAGGAGCTTCTTCTCCAGCCTGATTGGCTGCAGTGTCACCATGTAAAGTAGTAGATGAGTTCAGATTGTTGACTTCTGATTTGTGTTTATGTGATGTTTAGTTGCATTAAAATGTGTGCAGAAAAGCACTAATGGCCCTAAAAGCCACATCACAAAGATTTAAAACAGGAAACAAACAGGTTAACAAATTTAGTTAATACTTAATTATTTTTTTTATAAACTGAAAAAAATTATTTTAAAGGTTAAAATTAACCTTGAAATATTTTGGTGCTGATAAGTAAAATTTGTAGTTGATGATGATGATGATGATGATAGGGAAAAATCTAATTTTTGACCAAAATATCAGTTTTTAAATGGTTTAAAATTTCCTGCTTTTC